AGATTATCAAATCGATCATCGACTTCTAGACAGCAGCTTCCCCGTACCAGGTACAAAGAATTTCCCATGATACTCGTTTACGGAAACTAGCCAAAATCAGTGTCAGAGTCGTTGGCGATATGTTAGCATGTACAGATTTTAAGTCAAATATATGTGTGATTATGGGTTTGTGCTGTCTGCATCAATGTCTCTGGCTTGTAATCACCGCTGTATCCGCATAATTTCCACACTTCTGGTATAAAGTAATCGCTATTGCACATCAAGAAAAATCACTGCTCTACGAAAGCAGCCACATTTTTGCCTTGCTTCTCCATATAGCATAAACGCACCTGGTGAATGTTACATAAGCGCTGTATGCTCAATTCATTTGTCCAATAGAGCCTACCACTTGTCTTGATTATCATATCTGCTGAGGTTATCTGTGCCAGAAAGAGAATAGATTAATTCCTTGTGATTCTGCTGCTTAACGGTCATTAGAGGTGGAAGCCTGTGTAGCAGAAAATAGGTCAATCGTCGTACTGGTCTGCCACTATACATACCACATGCAGTACGATGCGCCTGTCATGTGTGCCGTCCACTTGGCAAGATACTTCGACCAAAGAATATCAGCAGAGCAAAAAGTGCATCAAACATTACAAAACTCGAAAATACTCGTTCATAGTTAAACTCATGCAAGGTTACAAAGGTTAAAGGCTGGCAGTCCCCGAAATAATTAACACCTAATCAATTTATTTCACCAATTCAGACTCTTTCCTCGCAAGGAGGTATGCCTCTACGAAACGCTTCCAGCTCCACCAAAACGATTCTTGCATTTTCAGAAAGGAACACTTCTAAATATATGCCCACTCGCTTTTCCGAAGCTGTACATTTTAAGAATACCTGTCGTCAGCAAGCCAGCATTCATCATTAAATGGGATGTGCCATCTTATTTTTAACATCTAGCATGGCGTTTAAAGATGTCAGATATTTTGCCAGTATTCGTAAGCCACGCGAATACGACAGCTGCAAAATGGCGAATTCTGTTTCTACTTATATTTCTTGATCGCCCCGTACGGACCGAAACATAATGATCTCATCACTGGTACATCAGTATGCATTTTGTATAAATGAAGAAGCGGCCTGTTTGTCACTTTCTCTGTACTTCACTTAACCAAGCGCAATGAGTCGATTCCAGTCACTGTAGAAGGTTACCTAAGAATGTCTATGAATAATCAGAAAGATGTATGAAATGATCGACTTCCTCACTACCGACGGTACCATTGGTTAGTGTCTGCTTGCATGGCCAGTCGATGACTCGCAGCCCTACTCCTATTAATGGATGCCATAATTTCTATAATATTGATAAACTATTTGGAGCATCGCTGGAGCAAACGTTATGCATATGCTGAATCTGCGCAATAAGTGCTGCTAAGCGTGTTAACTTTTTCGCTAATGACCGAAAGCCCGATATTTATGTTCAAGAAAATTATTTTAAAAATATCAGAAATATTGGAATAGTGCCTTATTGTATTTCATCCTTATCGACGGAGAAGCTTCCTTCCTGTTTCAGTTGCAACAGTCGAAATATATGTCAACAGAGATGTCCGATTGAGCTGTAACGAATCTAATTCAGAAATCATTCTTTAGCATTGAAAGTGAAAGTATGAAATGGACATCAGACATCACGGAGACGAACTGTTACAAGGCAATGTGTTGGGTCGCCACAAAAAATATTTCTCGAAAACGACCAGCAAAGTTTACTGAAGCATGAAAGAATATCTGTTAGCCGATCTGAGACTCCGGCAACGCACAAACGGTAATGCCAAGTGCTTATAAAACGACGCAATTAAGACTTTTACCGAAAAGTTGCAATAGTTAAGTGCAAACTGATAAAACAAGCCGAACAACGGCTCTCGGTAAAAGAACATTTGATAAAACACTTAGTAAAATTCGAAACGGCACCCGTATTTTTAAATAATAAAACAACAATCGTGCTAATGTATATAATAATTGAATAGGAATCAACAAGAATGAGTCTGAAATAATAAGGCATCCGATTCTTCTACTTGACCTGAGACACTGTGATGAGCGACCGACCCGCTTCCATGGGTTCATATTGCCTAAACTCACGACGAGCAACGAAGCAAGACTGCTGGTACGGTATCCAGCAGTATGGCGCCCTTTAACACCACTTTAAGAATTGATCGAATTTCGCTTGTTACGCGAAAACGGAGCTACTGATCGCCGTGGAATTAACGTCGTTGCCGCCGGGAGTGATGACCTTGAGTCCAAGAGGATTGAGATAAGGTTTCGCGAAAGAAACACTCGTCGCCGTCGTCATCGTCGTTTGGTCTCCGCTGATCACTCGCTGCATCTGCAGGAATTTCATTGGAAGTCTATTTCTGCAGGCGAACTCATCTTCCTCCAACGCGGCGAGAATTTGATCTTTGTGCTGATCGACGTACACATAAAGTTCGTTTAAAGCTGGAAGAACGTTAAATTCACCGTAGTACTGACGCGACTGTTCAACCAAGAAAGCATTCATATCCTGGTCGGAAACGGTGGGCAGTTGACGAATGTCTTGGTAGTACCTGAAT